TAGAGCAAACTAGACAAGTCTAGAGCAAACTAGACAAGTCTAGAGCAAACTACACAAGTCTAGAGCAAACTAGACAAGTCTAGAGCAAACTAGACAAATTCAAACTAAACTAACTAATTAGAATGAAATCAGAATCTATTCAAAGTTTGTCTACTAACAGCAGTTTCATATCACCATGTTAAAGCAATATATATATTTACATTTATATAACATTTATATCTAAAAGTTGTTCGGAAATTTGTAATATTTTTAGTTGCGGGAAATCAATCCATATTTTGTTTTAAATTGTGCAGACAATACGTGACCATCCCCATCCTGGAGGAGGACAGCTATGAGAAGAATGTCGTCTTCTACCTGGACATCGGCGAGCCTAAGTCTCTTGGAGGTATGGCGGACACTGGTGGACAATAGGGCGTGGTGGACACTAGTGGACAATGGGGCGGGGGTGGACACTGGTGGACATTAAAGTGGACATTGATGGATAATAGGGCAAAGGTGGACACTGGCGGATAATAGGATGAGGGTGGACACTGGTGGACAATGGGGTGAGGGCAGACACTGGTGGACAATGGGGTGAGGGCGGACACTGGTGGACAATGGGGTGAGGGTGGACACTGGTGGACAATGGGTGATGGTGGATACTTCTGGACAATGGGGCAATGGTGGAGACTGGTGGATAATAGGTCGGGGGTGGACATTGGTGGACAAGAGAGCGAGGGTAGACACTGGTGGACAAAAAGGCGGACATTGATGGACAATAGGGCGGGGTTGGACACTGGTGGACAATAAGGTGGACATTAATGGACAATATGGTGAGGGTGGACACTGGTGGACAATAGTGCAGAAGCGGAAAATAGGGCAGGGGTGGACAATGGTGGATTTTGATGGACACTGATGGACACTTATGGATATTGATGGACAATAGGGTGGCCAATAGGAGCAGGGTTGATTATAATCAACTACCAACATAGGAGAGAACCAAATCAAAATCAATTGCCAATCATACAAAACAATTGTGAAGTTTTTCAGCAATGAATATATGCATTCAATTGAGCGAAAACAAACAAGATAACTGTTAAGCATTGATCAATAGAATTATACAGAAATATTGAAATGCTGAAGGACAATGATTAAATATTATAAATTGATGAAAACTCAGAAAAATATAATGATGGAAATATTAATAGCTTTAGTTAACAATATATGGTGCAAGGTTAAATCATGAAATTTCCTCGAAATATTTTTATTACTGCGCTTCATTTATCTAAATGTGCGCTTAAAGCTTGATAAAATAAAATATGGGATATTTAAGCTATTGAATATGAATACTGAAAGTCATTAAACTTAATCAAAATTCTTTTACTTCGAAAATTGCAATAGAATTATAAAAATTACGTGTAAATTAAAATTTGAAAAATCTATTGATTTGCTGAAACAGCCAGTGTAATTTTTTTTTAATTTCCACTGCCTACAAATAAAAATTCCGGTTATATTTATGCTAATTAAAAAATATTGTTATATTGTTTCAGTGGAAGGATATTTCTTAGTCGGAAAACTGATTTTTATGTAACAATATATTCATATTTAGTATGATATTATTTCAGTCAATGGTTTAATAATGCTAAATTTTCATGCTCCGGGGTCTCCCCTAAAAAAAGAGCCTATGAGTTAAATAAACTAATAATTGGAACGATGTTTAGAACTCCGGCATCTATAATTAGATTTTTTTGTTCAAACTTGATTTTTAATAGGCGGAAAATGCTTAAGCTCGGCAACTTTAATTAATTATTGAAAAATGTTTAAGCTAATTAGCAAAAAAAGTTATTGTAAAACGCTTAAACTAATTAGCGTTAAAAAATTATTGTAAAAGGCTTACGCTAATTAGCGATGAAAAATTATAGTAAATGCTTAAGCTTATTAGCGATAAAAAATTATTGTAAAAGGCTTAAGCTTATAAGCGATAAAAAATTATTGTAAAAGGCTTGAGCTTATTGGCGATAAAAAATTATTGTAAAGTGCTGAAACTAATTAGCAATTAAAAATTATTGTAAAAGGCTTAAGCTAATTAGCAATAAAAAAGTATAGTAATATGCTTAAGCTTATTAGCGATAAAAATTATTGTAAAATGCTGAAGCTAATTAGCGATTAAAAATTATTGTAAAAGGCTTAAGCTTATTAGCGATAAAAAATTATTGTAAAGTGCTGAAGCTAATTAGCGATTAAAAATTATCGTAAAATGCTTAAGCTAATTAGCGTTCCTTAAATATTGAAAATTGCTTAAGCTTAGTAGCTTTATTAATTATTGGAAAATGCTAAAACTAGGTAGTCTTCTTATATTTTTGAACATTGCTTGAGCTCGGTATATTTATTAGTTGTAATAAGACTTAAATTAGTTCATTATTATTTGCATAAGAAATCATTCGCTCAGCTAACTTCATTTCATTATAGAAGTCGAAATAAAAGAAAAAGAAATGACGATAATTTTATTTTAATATGTCAATTCGAAATGCATAGATTTGTGCACTTTTAAAGAACAATATATTTAAGCTTCGTTTATAAATGCAGCAAGTGTCACATTTTCAATAAAATTGCGGTAAAACTTGGTTCATGTTAACAAGAAATCATTTTAATCAATGGTCGTATCTTTTTGAGTAAAATTAGTTATCCAAAAAATTGAAGATATCAACTGAATACATTTGTATTCTTATTCCAGAGAAAATTTATAAATTTAATGGTTAAATTTCGTGGTTATATGGTTTAATGGTTAAATTTTGTCATATCTAAAATACATGCATTTTAGATATGACAATATACCAATGAACAATGTACATTGTACACGCACTCGATCAATACAGCACACAGTTTATGATGCTGCTGCCTCAATGGTATTCAGTTAAAATATTCAATTTTCATAAATATTCAAATATTCATTTCATAGTCCATTGTTTTGAGAAGAACAATATACCTTGAAAAGGTATTCGTAAAATTAATTAATAATTTGCATATTGATTTAGATGATTGAAGATATTGAATCGAACAAATTACTTAATATTCCCGAAGTAGTAAACCTTTTTTGATATATTTGTGAAATAGTTCATCTTGATATTTCTTTTGTCTGCAAACAGGTTTGTTTTATGAAAAAGTATGCGATGGAATTTGATTTTTTCCTTTATTTTGTTCAAAATATCGAAAGGTTTGTGAATAATAAATTAGGTAACTTATTTGTTACTATGTAGTGTCAACCATGTCAAAATTAGAACTAAGGGCACTATAAATCTTTTAATTGGGCAACTAATTAGTCTATTGTTGCTCATCAGAAAGAAGTATATCAATCATATCAAAAATATGGATGATTTTTAATTTTTATATACAATTTTCAATTTTCCCAGTTAAACAGAGCCAAGAATTCCTTTCCTGGTCCTTTTTCATTTCCAAAGTTCCTTCAACTTAAGCTTCTTTCTTATTTTCAAATATTGCACCATGCAAAAATTTTCAAAAATTCAGTCACATCAAATGATTTTATAACTTGCATTCAACAAAATTATTTAATTTATTTTCCCAGTTCCATGAAGCTCAATGCAAAATTTGCTATTCTACGAATGGCTTTATTTTAATACATTTGCAATTTAATTACTGTGAAAATATTGAAAAAAATCAACTACTGAATTTTTTCTTTGAAAAAAAAAATGTTCTGACTATAATGTTCTTTTTTAATGTCCGGTGCCTCGCCAACCGTGCGGTTGTTCTTCTGTTCTACTTCTCCTGTTCTGCTTCATGTTCTTCTGTTCTTATTGATCATCTTTTACGGTAAATGTAAGTGCATTTAAATGCAAAATTCATGTTCTTGCATCCAGAACCTGTAACCCGCCTGCGTGGATGCTTAAGAAACTGGCAGTTAAATGATTACCATTTAAAAAATATTTATACATGTTTTTTTCAATAAAATTCAAATAATAAACGGAATATCTTGTTGAAAATGAGCCGTCGTATCTCAAGTTCTAAAAAGAGAAATTATCAAAAAACTTTTTTTGGACGAAAAAAAAATCACAAATGTACATTGTACACGCTCTATATGATCAGGAAAATGTAAATTTATATGGAACATCGAAGTTAATTAAAAAGAATCAGTGAATAAGTAACTTTTTAAGTAAACATTAATGTTCTTGAATATTCTTTTAGTATATGCGCCAAAATACGATTTGATTCAAACTATTAAATGTATTTAAATGTTATACATAATTGTTGAATATTTAGTAAAGACATTTAATTTTGCAAAGCACCGATCTAATGATAATTAAAGGATAAAATCTCTAATACTTATTTCTGAGTAAATTTGTAATGTAAAAAAGCTCCTCGAATTAAAGTACGTTTTTTCCTGTTTTACATCTAATAGCTCATTAGGTTCCTTACAGCGCAATCAATCTAAATCAAGTCATATTTTCATTTGCTTAACTGCGTTTATAATAATTGAAAAAATATATCTCTAAAGATTTTACTGGATCTATTCGAGTTTTTTAATATTAAAAAACGAAATCTGTTGGTATTTTACGCTGCCACTTTCCCATAGCATTCATTTTTTGTGATTTTGTTTTCAATTTTGAACGTGAAGACAAAATTCCCATTGATTTTTGCTGTAAATTACTTTAAAATTTAGCAGATCATCCTTTGTTGAATACCTGTGTTGGCTGCCGCTGTTGTATCCTTTAAAAATTGTGTAAAACAAATCCTGTTTACTGGGTCATATCAGCACTCGACTCAGTTTTTGTGAAATTAATGTCGGAAATTTTGGCAATCAAATTTCCGAAAAATTTGATTTCCCTGTAAAACTTAACATGGAATTCTGGTATCAAATTTTTTTACATCTTTTATAATATATGCCAGTCGGAACCTGTTTTAAAATTTATATATATTTTAATAAATTTTAGAGCCATATTGTGCTAAGGTTCAGTGAATTTTAATGCTAAGTAGTACTATTAAATAAAATTTAAATGAAAATTTCCACTATTTCAACAAACTTCAACACTATATCGAGCTAAATTTAAAATAAATTTATATCAAAAAAATTTTTTTACAAGTCTCACAAAATTGTAACTTTATTTCACGTTAGAAAAGGTAAAAATCTGATACTAAGGAAACCAGCAATATTTCATAACCGAAAAAACATAATACCCGCCCAAAATTTTTATAAATTAAAAAATGAAAAGAATGATGTTTATTTTGTGGTAAAACTTCGCGTTCAGTGGAATTTCGACGTTTGGTAAATTTAAAGTAAACACTGGAATTTTTTTATTTTAGTTAGAGATTTCCCAAAATGTTTATAAATTAAAAAATGAAAAGAATGATGTTTATTTTGTGGTAAAACTTCGCGTTCAGTGGAATTTTTATTTAATTTTTTAATTTTACTTTTGGTAAATTTAAAGTAAACACTGGAATTTTTTTATTTTAGTTAGAGATTTCATTATAATATTGGCTACGATTACAAATAGTTTCAGCTAGGCATCCTGCTTCTGCATGCTTGTCCGTGCTTAGTAAATATTGTGCAGTGGAAGTCTATAATAAAGTGGGACTATACAATGAAGTGGAAGTATTCAATAAAGTGTAAGTATTTAATAAAGTGGATGTATTCAATAAAGTATAAGTATTTATTAAATGGGAATATTCAATAAAGTGGAAGTATACAATAAAGTGGAAGTATTCACTAGAGTATAAGTATTTATTAAATGGAAATATTCAATAAAGTGGAAGTATTCAATAAAGTGGATGTATTCACTAGAGTATAAGTATTTATTAAATGGAAATATTCAATAAAGTGGAAGTATTCAATAAAGTGAAAATATTCAGTAAAGGGGAAGTATTCATTAAAATGGAAGTATTCAATATAATGGAAGTGTACAATAAAATGGAAGTATTCAATAAAGTGGAAGTATTCGTTAAAGTGGAAGTATACAATCAGGTGAAAGTATTTCAGTGATAGACAATTTCATGCAAGTAATCACAAAACAGAAATGGCGAATTTTAAAGATAATAATTAACAGATTAACACGAAATCAATAAAAATTATTAGTAGTCTTCGGAACGATTCAAACGAAAGAAATATTATTGAGCTTGACGATAATATATTAACGGATCTAATACTTGCGCAAATTAACTTACTATAATGTTATGAAATTACTTTCTAAAATCCGAATAATTCCGGCTTGGCTAATACGACGAAATTAAATCAATTTTATATTGAAACGAACCTTTGACTGTGATCAATTAATTATAATATATAGACATCAAATTTAAAAACATTGCTTAAATTTAATTATTACATCAAATTAAACAATTGATAATCGCATTTATTTAGGCAAGAATAACATTTAAAAATAATCCTTCCCAATCAAACTTAAAACCATAATTCAAAATTTTCATTATATGCTGAATTAATTCAAAATTCTGGTAGGAATACCACTAAAAAATTTTACGCCCTCTCAATTTAATGGACCGCGTTTGTATGAATGCCACAATTATTAAATTATTTGCACTGAAAGAAATGGTTGGGTCTGGATGACCCACTTAGATTAGTCAACCGCATCCAAATAACCCTGCATTTTCTTGACTCACTTCTCCATTTATGGGTCATACTGACCTATTACTGGACTTTAAATTTCATTTTTGCGTCAAATCGCTTTTGACGCAAAAATTGGACGCGGTTGACTCATCTATGTGTGTCACACAGACCCACCCATTTCTCTCAGTGTGGCTACATTCTGATGCTATTCTTATCAGGATTTAAAGCGAATTTATTAATTATAATTATGTATAGTCATGATATACAAGGCTGTGTGTAACAGTGAACTTTTCCACCCATATCACGGTGCCCAGGGGAAGAGCCCAAGGTGCTTTATCGGAAGAGAGGTACAAAGAGAACTGTTGTTCTTGCTTGCTTTTCTCATATCTCTTTTCTATTTTGCTCTCTTTTTCTTTTTTTCTTTCTCTCTATCTCTCTTTTTCTTCTCCTTTCTCTCTCTCACACATTATTTATTGCATAATCTTGAAGCACTTTCTTACTATCTTCATTCATTTTGGTACGGTGTGTTGTAAAAATTACATTTTTCTCTTATTCACACATGCATTTTTTTCGGTCATTTTCGAATTTTGTTTCTCGTTAAAGACAAATTTTAACTCTCCTTCATGATCATTTTTCATCGACTGCATCATGATTTAGAATATTTAGAAACATATCACGCCGTGTAAACAAGGAAGTACTTCAAATTCCTTTTCATTCATGACTAATTACAATGATTAGTAGCACATTTGTTTGCAGTTTTTCGAGGATTTGCACAGCTTCATATGAAAAAAAAATTTTCTTCGCCGCCATTTATCCATTATGAAGCTCACATTAATCTGGCCCATTGTTTCAAATTTTCCGGGCCAAAAGTAGAAAATTATTCATAGTTTGCTAGCACTTTAGCGTTTAGAAAGATTTCTTAAACGCACATAGTTTCTTTGAAAACTTAAAATTAAAAAATTAGTTCCTTTTCCAATCAGTTTCACCAAACATTTGTTAGCTATAATTTAAGTTTTTTATATCATGCTTGAAAAAATTTCTAATATTTCCCTGTATATTGAAGATAATTTTGTGAGTTAATTTCTATAGTCTATACAATTATGGCTGGGCCTAATATTTTAATTGACGACCTCATTGTAATTCCCTTAATTTTCAGCAATCATTCACCCAAATTTGTTATATACTAGAAAATTGCGCATTTTTGCTGCAGTACAAAACTACAAGTTTTATAGAGCACATTCAACATGAGCGCGTGAATCAAACTGCATTTTCCCCATTTTTATTAAAAATAAAATCAATGGTTAAACTAATGAATGGATGATTGCAAGTATCTTTTTATTTAAATTCAATGATGAAAATAAATTCTAAGCAGAGTAAGCAATTTTAAAGATCGTAATTTATTTTTAAAATATTCCTTCCGATATGTATTTCTGGGAGGTAAATTTTAATTTGAAATACATATAGTGTTATAATTACAAAAATTTTTGGCTTAACGCAAGTTTAAAATTTTTTATATACGTCCAATCGAATAATTAAGTGGGCTATAAAATTTGTCTGATCGAAGAAATTCATGTAGAATTATATTTTTGTATTATTTACAAAATATTCTTGTTCTAAACAAAGTACTTGATTTAAATAGACTAATATACGTGAACTAATGTACGTGATATCTTTAAGATTATAAAACAACTGTTGAATTTCCTGAAGAATATTTGCTCTCTATTAAAAATGATTGCAGCGTATTCGGGAATAATTTAAATAATTTTTATTCCTAAAAACTGAAGCTTCAAAAGTAATGGAATAATTTTTATATAGAAATTAATGAAAGAAAATGCTAATATTAATACATGAAGCTTCATTATTTTAAAACGTTCAACTTATTTAAATTATAATCATAAACAGGAAGACTTATAACGGCAATAAACTCCCTCAAAGTAGTTTATTAGGTTCATATTTACCCATGTATTTATCAACATATGTAAATGTAAAGAATAAATTGAGAATTCAAATCGTTTAAATATAAGCATTATGATAATAGCAAGTTAGCAACTCATTTCTTCTTGCATGTTGCTAAAAATTTTTACCTACTCAGTAGTTTACCCTGAAAATCATTCATGCTGTTATCATTACCCTAAAATATCATCTATGCACGAATCAATTTCGCTTTGCATGGTGAAATTTAATTAAAGTGGATGAAAATTTTTGTCGCCTTTCCCTCTTCCGCTCCTCTTTTCATTTCTCGTCCTTCAGAAGTAAAATGTACAACCAGCAACTAATTTAGGAACTAATTTCATTAAATGTTCATTAAATAATCGAATCAATTCTGTTATTTCTTGACAAAAAATCTGGCTTCTAAAATTTAAATTCTTCCCGTTCCATAATTTTATTGCTTTAAATTCCCGCACTTTTATCGTACGCGCATGAAAGTTTCTAAATTAATGTTTGCTATAACTGTGTTATTAATTCTGGTATATTGAAGCTGTTGCTAACATATTATTGTTTTAAGGCTGTTATAAAGTATGTGTTATAACAAGTATTCTCTGTGTTATAATGTTATTATAAAGTAGGTGTTGGCTGACGTGATGTTGTTATAAGGCTGTTATAAAGTATGTGTTATATCAAGTATTCTCTGTGTTATAATGCTATTATAAAGTAGGTGTTGGCTGACGTGATGTTGTTATAATGCTGTTTCAAGGTAAATGCTGACCATATAAACAGAAAAAAAACATTAATTAATTAGTAATAAATTTGTTTGAATGGCTTGCATGCTTAAATCTAAATTGATTAGTTTGATTTATTTTATGTTAAATTCCGCGAAAGTTCGTCCCGTGAGAGTAAAAATTTCGTTAACCAACGAAACTTCGTTAAATTTTAATTTAATTAAATTCAGTGGAATTTCGCCAAAGTTCATTCTATAGGCCTAAAAATTTTTCTATAAATGTGCGCATGTGCATGTAAAATATTTCGATGTTCGTTCGGTTTGCTATAGTGAGTTGTTAATGAAATAACTTGCAGGTGATTATCTCAATATCTGAGGTAATTATTAAAAATTTTGAATTTTGGAGAGATTATTTTAAGACATGTTTTATTACCTAGAACTACTTGATTATGTTGCGTAGTAGTTATTCTTATTTCTGCATGTTGTTCTTATAGTAAGAATTCATATTTTTAGATATATTTTATAATGAACATACGTCCTGTGATTAGCTTAGTTTTCATGTCAATATAATGATTGTTCTGAGAAATATTATATAATGTTTTATTACCGTGAATAATTCTGAATCTATAGATGAATTGTTCCTTGATCTTGAAATATACATCAACTGAATTGAAAATTGTGAAATAATGCAAATTATTAATGTATTGAATTTTCGTTTATGAAGTGTAATGGAAAATCCAATGTGCGATTTGATGTCCAATTATTAACCGACAAACAAAAATATGAACATTAATATACAATGAACAATATATTTGATTGTAATTATTCGGAAATTTATTTTGAACTTTTAATCTTTAATATTTGTTTGGCGGAGGATAAAATGTCCACGATCATTTTCAAAATAATTGTAACTTTATCAAAAATTATTTTGCCAACGCAGTAGTTTTCACAACTGCCAAAGATAATTACGAAAAATATCGAATGATAATGTTTCACTTTCATTTCATCCATGAATAGAGGACTTGTGATTGACAAATTAAATTTTGTATTTCTGAATAATTTAGAGCTCCTGCCACGAATCTTGAGAGTATGTTCAATGCAGCTCTTCAAAACTCACGTTGAAATTTTCTAATCAATGTTATCATGAAATAAATCATAAAAAATCTTAAACGTTTACTTGCCTTATTTACAACAGTTCAAATTTATTTGGAAAAAATACTTTCCTCAAAAATGCTCTCGGGAAGATAAAAACCACGCATTATTTTCACAAAAATTCTATTTCCACACTCTACCTTCCGTATAAATTTTTAATTACGCGATATTTCGTTAAAACAACGTTTAATCAACGTTATTTCGGCGTCTGATGCCTGCTGCACCNAAACTAGTTCCTCTGCCAATATCAGAGACCACGTAGCTAATTCGAAATTTGAGATATTAATAATTGAATATTGATTTGTCTAGAGTACCGTAGAAAAAATTTGTACATAGAGCGTAAACAATTAATAGGAAAAATGCAACATTCACACCAACATAAAGGTAGTGAAACAGTATCCAGGAAGACATTTAGAATAGCAGTAGCTCCTGTTGCAGTGCGGGCTGAAGTGAATATTGTCCAGAATTGAATAATTGAGAACTAGCTGCGTTTGAGATAAAGCACGTTACGAGATCGGACGTCTGAACGGTATGGATGCTTAGAAAGGAAAACTATCCTAGCGGATACTGCTAACTAGTTAAACTACGAAAAAAAACTGAATGCAACAAAACTCTTATTACAACACAAACAAAACAACATCAAGCTAACAAATTTAAATGAAGAACTACAAATAATATCAATGGTGGGAAAAATTTCCCACAGGGTTAAGGAGAACAAGGTTAGGCAGGGTTAAGGAGTACAAGGTGGGGCAGGGTTAAGGAGTACAAGGAGTACAAAGTAGGACAGAGCGGGGGCATAAAAAGTGTAAGATTGTTCATTACCCTTAAAAACCCTTACCTTCCTCGCATAAAATATTATCCTCACCACTCAAACTACCCTCACTACCCTTACTACCCTCACTCCCTCACTACCCTCACTACCCTCACTACCCTCACTACCCTCACTACCCTCACTACCCTCACTACCCTCACTACCCTNTATGGAATAAGGTCTATTGTGTGTACCACCCTATTACACAGGGTATGTTGTATGTGACATGTATAGTAGCAGTTCAATGAAGGTTAGTGCAACTATTATATTATTATATAATATTATATATAATACTAGTTAATATTCTATATATTGCATCAGGAATTTTGTTTGTACCAACCTATTATTTAGAGCTTATTATACATTAAAAAATAGTTTGATATATTTTTTAAGCATGTTATATTGTTTAGATGGATGATATATGATACTAAGATTACTACAGATTATATATAAATCTATGTTTTATCTACGAAATATATACGAAAAATATATGAAATATTATACATCGTCTAATAATCAGATGATGTATAATATTTCAGTGCAACTATCATATTATTTTATAATATAATACATAATACTAGTTAATATTCTATATAATGCATATGGTATATTGTATGTACCAACCTATTATATTGAGCAAATTATGTATAAAAAATAATTTGATATATTGTTAAGCATGTTATATTGTTAAAATGTATTATATGGGATACAAAGTTTTTTATGGATTATATATAATATTTCGTACACTACGTTCAAAAATATATTGATCAAAATACAATAAATGGGAAAATTTCATATATATCAATACATCAAAATATACGAATGGTAACTTCAACATCCATATTTCAACATCACTCACATCGCTCACAGTTTCATAATGACACATACGATGAATACAGTCATTATACGATGAATACAGTTCATGAGTCACTATACTCATCACCTCCTCGCACTTGTGATGATAGGTGATGATGAAGAGGGTGAGGAGGGTGAAGATGCCCCCGAGAAGCTGCCCACGTGTGGTGATTATGTGATGCACTTCATCACCGTCATCTGGAAGGTGATTTTCGCCCTCATCCCCCCCACGGGTGAGTCTGGGTTGTGACAGAGGGATTAATGGGGGTGTGATTAATGAGGCAAAATCTAATGAGTTTAGCATTAATTTGTCTCAAATTAGCGGGGTTCAAATTTAGATAAAGTTAAGATTAATGAGGTTGTGATTAATGAGGGTATGACTAATAAGGTTGAAGCTAATGAGTTTAGCATTAATTTGTATCAAATTACTGAGGCATAATCTTAAATAAGGTTGTGATTAATGAGGTTGGGATATATTTGTATCGAATTACTGAGTCATAACCTTAAATAAGGTTAAGATTAATGAGGTTAGCATTAATTCGTATCAAATTACTGAGGCATAACCTTAAATAAGGTTGAAAATAATGAGGTTGGGATATATTTGAATCGAATTAGTGATGCTTAACCTTAATTAAGGTTAAGATTAATGAGGTTGTGATTAATAAGGTAGAAGCTAATGAGTTTAGCATTAATTTGTCTCAAATTAGCGGGGCTCAACCTTAAATAAGGTTAAGATTAATGAGGTTGGGATAAATTTGTATCGAATTAGTGAGGGATAACCTTATGTAAGGTTAAGATTAATGAGGTTAGAATTAATTTAAATAGCAATATTGAGGCTGGGACTAAAAAAGTAGGGATTAATATTGTCAGGATTAATAAGTAGGGATTGTAAAGATTATGACTAAAAATTTTGAATTAAAATAGTTAGGATTAATTAGGCTAGAATTAGTAAAATGAGGACCAATGATGATTAAGAATTTTGAAGAATATGAATTAATAGGCAATTTATTCGTATATTGAAAAACAATTGAGAAAATTTTTATTATGTGGTGTAAATTTAGCCGGGAATTAATTGAATAACTGATAAAAGTTGAAATATTTATTATTGATATGAAACGAAGGACAGAATTAAAAAATTAAACTTAAAAATTAAGTTAGATTATAGTCTAACAATTATAATTATTTAGGAAACAAAGGAAGTAATCAAAATAACGTCTTTGCTGAATCTAGAATAACTAACGGAGCATTGGTGAACACAATATAAAAAATTTTACCGTAACAATGAATACTATCTTGCAGCGTTATTTAGTTGTATTATACAGTATATCAGGGGACAAATGAACTAACTGTGATTCTTACTCCAACTTTCAGAGACGGGGTCTAGTTATATCTTTTACTAATTTTATCTAATTATCTCTAATAATTAACTCTAATAATTTTCTCTAATATTTTCCTTCCAAATTTAGCAAGGAAGCTTGCAGCTCAAAGCTTCACTCCAACATCTATTTAACACATGTCACTTTTTAGATTGGCTGAATCATTCATCCATAATTAATGAGAATATACCCTTATATATGTATTAATATATTAATATATTTTATGCCTACAATGATGCACCTAATTCTCTTCATTTATAATTATAATTTTTAAATATTTTACCTGAAATCCTAAACTTGTTTACTAAATAATTTTTACTTTCAGAACAGAATCCCGGTCGTCAAAATTCTAAATTTGTTTTTCACGTAATTAGCATATATCGAAATTTGTTATTAATATTTGCATGAATTTTTGCCCATAAGTACTATTATTGTAAGTTAAATCATAACTATCATTCACTTAAATCATAATGTAGGTCATAACACCAAATTAATTAAGTTGAATAATAATTTTCCGGTTTTGGCGCGCTATCGTAAAGAAAAATGCTGAAATTTTTCTCAGTGATTTACATTCCCTACGTTTTTTCCGCACCTAAATGCGGATCCTGCAATTTTCGTTTGCCCAAGTTGGTGAAAAAAGATCTAAAAGTTCTTACAACTCCACCTTTAGCTCAAACTTTAGCCTCCCGTTCGTACACTCCACTATTCAACTCAAACTTTAACCCTGATCTTTTTTACAGCTCCAGCGCAAATTTTCAAATTCGTTATTAAATTTTAAGTTATTTACGTTAAGAGGTCGCCACTTCTGCCGATGTCAGTAATGAACCACTAGTGCAAATCGCAATAGAACAAATTTAAAAAAATGGTGAGGGCAAATTATTTACGCTCCATTACCGTACGTCTTCTCACTGAGCGCTAAAAGTTATATTTTCATTACATGGCCTTGGCATAACTTGCATAATCGTTACATTAAACCGCGCTTTAATGTAAAAGCCTAAATGAAGTCAAATTCATTTGTGACGGTTGAATCGTGAAGGTAACCGCGTTACCTCAACCGCGTTACCTTATGCCAGCAGGTTACATCACTAGCTTGTTAACCGTGAAGGTAACCGCGTGCAGATATGGCTGCAGGTTACACCACTATACATTAACAAAATTTGGGGACCGCCAAGGCTTCGGCCGAATAGTCGCTACACTCGGCTCAAAGTTATTTTGGGTCTGCTTGGCTACCCGATCGAAATCAGTTTTAGGTTAGAATCTAGTTTCCGGTTTTACAGTCGCCTCAGAGTATGATAAGGGTGTTATGAGAGTACGACAAGTGTGTCATGAGAGTATGACAAGGGTTGGCTTGGGCGAGTCTTGCTCAAACTTTCAAGCTGCCGGAGGCTGGCATTCAAACCCTGACCCGAAGCGAACATGAGCGGCTGATTTACGCGCTCCCCGAGTCCTGGGCGGCACGTATTTCAGAGTCGCGTAGGCCTCCGAATTTTGTTAGTGTAGCCTGTTAACCGTGGAAGTGACTGCGTGCAGACATGGCAGCAGGTTACCCGACCTTCATCATTAGTATCATCGCTATCGGTATCGTCACGGCCGTCATCGGTGATGTGGCATCACACGTCGGCTGCACCATCGGCCTAAAGGACTCCATCACAGCCATCGCCATTGTGGCGCTTGGTACCAGTGTACCAGGTACTGTACTAGGGTACCAGTGTATGGGTGTACCAGGTACAGTACCAGCGTACAAATTTATCGGGTGTGCTAGGTACTGTACCATTGTACCAAGTACTGTTTCTGTGTACCAGGTACGGTATCAGTGTGCCAGATACGGTATCAGGATAACAAGTTCTGAACCATCGTATCAGTAGGTATACCAGTTGCCATTTCAGCGTACCATCAGATGTTCCAGCGTACCAGAGTGTAGCAGATGTAGTATACTAGGTGTAGCAGCTAGTGAATGCGTGCACCAAGCGGACGTAGCGACTAACTATACAAGCTAAGCTATTACACTAGTGAAACTAGTCAATAGTAAAGACGTTAAATCTTCGAAACGTAACAGAAGGAGAAATCTGATACGCTTCAAGGATACGTTTCAGAGCTCAACGGTGAAGGTGGTATACCACATCAGGTATGGTACTAAAGTGGAGAAGACACGAGAGTGCACTAGACGACTAGTACAAACTCTATTACTGCTGTTATAATTTATTACTGCTATTACTTATTAATAATTATTAATAGCAGTAATAATTATTATTACTGCTATTTAATAATTATTACTGCTATTACTGCGGTTATAATTTAACTCTTTGCACAACTACTAAATTTGTTCTACTAGTGGAAAATTGTTGGAGTAAATAGATCATCGTAAGGAAAAAATTACCGTCCAGCTGCTTGTCGTCTAATGCATTAATTGTAAATATTTCACAGCACCAATAATAACAGCAACGTTTGCGACACTAATTGTAAATTTTGCGAAATTGTAGATTGTGCGAAAATTGTTATTTTCATTGTGGTTCACTCGCTACTGCAACCGCAGCGTCGACGCGGCGTGACTCGAAATTCTGCTTATTTTTTAAACAAACAAATTATTGCCGCAGCCTTCGCTAATATTAGTAATCAATTATTAATTAATTTCTCTATCATAGTTGTTTTTAAGGATGTAGTTTATTAATACGTGCCCCAACAACGATTTTCTGCAGCTGCCCCACTGGTTTATTTCTAAAGCGAACAATTGCTTATGTAAAAAACTTACAACAGCAATTGATTCATTGTACGCATTGTTGTTCATATGCAATATTCATTTATTTAAATCATCGTTATCTTTACCTATATACAATGGATATCCGACTGAGATATATACAATGGATATCTGACTCAGATATATACAATGCATGTCCGACTCAGATATATACAATGGATATCCGACTCAGATATATACAATGGATATCCGACTCAGATATATACAATTGATATCCGACTCAGATATATCCAATGGATTTCCGACTCAGATATATACAATGGATATCCAACTCAGATATATACAATGGATATCCAACTCAGATATATACAATGGATATCCGACGTTCGTAATATCCATCCTGGGCATCGGGTTCGTCACGGCCATAATCGGCGACGTGGCATCACACGTTGGCTGCACCATCGGCCTAAAGGACGCAGTCACAGCCATATGCATTGTGGCGCTCGGTACCAGTGTACCAGGTACTGGACTAGGGTACCAATAGGTGTACCAGGTACTGGACTAGGGTACTAGCTAGTAGGTGTACCAGGTACTGGACTAGGGTACCAGTAGGTGTACCAGGTACTGGACTAGGGTACCAGTAGGTNACTCAGATATATACAATGGATATCCGACTCAGATATATACAATGGATATCCGACGTTCGTAATATCCATCCTGGGCATCGGGTTCGTCACGGCCATAATCGGCGACGTGGCATCGCACGTTGGCTGCACCATCGGCCTTAAGGACGCCGTCACAGCCATATGCATTGTGGCGCTCGGTACCAGTGTACCAGGTACTGGAACAGGGTACCAATAGGTGTGCCAGTAGGTGTACCATGTACTCGACTAGGATACCAGTAGGTGTACCAGGTACTGTACCAGGGTACCTGGTACTGAGGCAGTGTATCGGAGTACTATCATGTGCACTAGGTACTCTACCAGGGTACCAAAATGCGTATTAGGTGCGGCAACAGAGTACTATTAGGTGTACCAAGTGCACCGGGCACCAGTGTACTTGTCCTTCTTTTCCAACAGGTGCACTAGGTACTGATTGTTTATTAGGGCGCAGGTACATGTGCTTTACATTGCAGCAGTGTAGTTTTACCATTTTTCGTTTAGTGTAATCAGGTAGAGAGAAATGGTAGAACAGGTTTCAATTTCTGCCAGCAATGTAAGGGTAATTTTTTACCAAACCAGGTTAAATTATCTAATTATCTATCTAATTTTCTAGGTTAAATTATCGATTTATTTATATAATTATGCTTTGATACGCTCAAATTATAACGGAAGAAAAAAACTAAGTATTATTTAGTTGAGAGCTCATAACACTATCTCAAGGTATGACTATAGATTCACAATCGAAAAATTTTTCATTTTAGCACCTAACATAGAAAAATAGACTAGCTTGTATACCGATAATCCTGGGAGAGAACATAACCATTTTTTTCACCAACCTATATGTTGTTTTTTAATGTTGATGTCACTAGAGCAACGGTAGAAAGTTTAACTCGACAAATAGACAATTTTTTGCGAGGAAAAATATATTAGTCCGCAATGGATAACATTGGAGTGATGAGTTGTGAAAATAATTTTTCGGAAGCAAAGGGATACATTTTATTTTGACCTTTATGAAGTTGACTGGCAATTCGAATAACGCTAGAGAAAGCATAACAAAATTAAAACAATTTATAAAGATTCCGAAAATAAATAAATAAAGCTGAAAGCGGACTAGATATTTTCTTTATCTATTCCAATAAATATTAAACGTTAAATAAAAAAACATCAAGGCTCTTTAAAATGTATGACTTGAGCGATAAAAATAGCTTACTCCCAAAAAAATTTTCTAGTTTCGTTTAATTTACATCGCGTTGGTTTTTATGAAAAATTTAGCGTCCGTCGATTTTAGGCCAATTAAATCGCAAATATTGCAAGACAGGCGGAAATCCCTTGAATCTATGATAAGTATAAAATTTAAATAAAATGAATGAAAATCTCATCATTAATACATTTATTTTAATAATTATTGTATTCTCAATAAATTATAGCAAGCGAATCGTCACCACCTGTTGAAAAGTAATTGTCTGAATTATTTATGAAGTTTACTTAACTCATCTAGTTGGGCACGTTGGTTCAATCAAAATCATTAATTTAATATTAGTCAGAGTAATATATTTAAATATTATAAGCCTTGTTTTATCTTTCAAAAATAAAACTGACATACATTGGAACGGACTAATTAATAATTTATTGAATTGAAATACTCCGTATTAAAATAGACATAGTTATTCCAGACGTGATGGCAAAGTACTTATTAAATCAAACAAATTACAATGAAATTAGTTACCGTATAAGTCACAATTACAGTTATTTCGTTTTTTGGGTAATTGTAACTAAATAGTCTCTATTAAAGAACTGGCGTTAATTACGGAAGACTCCTTATTCCCATTCGTTAATTACGAAAAAAAAAATTCTTTCATTCGTTAATTAAAATTTTTATATTATTTACTAATCTAAGACACATAACAATAACTTAAATGACATCTAATGTATTTTTTTGCTCTCCTTCTACTTTTTAAATTCCGAATAAATTTAATTTCTGCAAAAAACCTGTTCAAAAAACCTGTTCAAAAAAACCTGTTCCCTCAAAACTTCCCTAAGACCAAATGGAAATATTGCCGTAATCCTATAACTTTCAGATTTCGTTTCTAACAGTGTAATTAGTTCCATGTCATATTTTAAAACCAGTTTTTAATTCCAAAGAGTATCTATTTACTAAATACTTCATCTCATATTATGTTTCCATTAGTGAAGATTAATCAATATACAAGGACCGATCTTTTTTATTGTAGTTGTTCGTATCTCCGAAGTCCATTATTTTCGCCGTTGCCGTCTGTTGGTCATTCACTTTAATTGATTGTGTCTTGTTAGTTTATATCGTCTTTACGTGCTTTATCTGCGTCGCTTGTGAATGTTTCATTTTTTCCTTACAGAAGGTTTGTCTATGACTGCTGCAACGATTCGCACATTTAAATCTTTCTTAAAAAATTCGGTTGTAAATTTAATGATTACTGTGCGTGCTCTAACGAAATTGCAATTTTTGTATAGAATATTATTTTCTTTGGTAGCCAGTGTGAATGATTGTTTTAGCATTAATTAGCGTTTTAGAAATAAACTAATGTTACATGTTTTTTAGCAAAATATCTAGCGGGCTGAGCTTCGAATGTATTTATAATTCTGCATTTGGTGCTTTAATCGCGTGTGCGTGATTGCTTTATTCATTTTCAGAACGGCGAAACGTTTACTTAAATGTGACTTATTAGCGTATAACAATGTGCATTTTAGCAGCGCTTAATAAACATTTTAAATCTTTGAAAAATTAAACGTGAATTCAAAGAGTTGAAGGCGGCGTTTTAGAGACTAAGACTCTTCCACTAATGAAGTCGATCGTTTTTCTCCCGTCACTCCTCAGATTACTTCAAAGGTTACCCGACTTTTGTCATTAGTATTATCGCTATCGGTCTTGTTACCGCCTTGATTGGTGACATTGCCTCTCACGTCGGCTGCACCATCGGTCTCAAGGACTCTATCACAGCCATTGCCATCGTCGCGCTTGGTACCAGTGTACCAGGTACTGTATCAGCGTACCATTAGGTGTATCAGGTATTGTGAATCAATACCAGAAATTGAAACAAGGTACCATGCTGAGAATCGATCACGTACCGGGCACAATATCAAGGTACCGTCACCATTCCACGAAGTTGTCTCAAAAATTACCAGCATTCCAGGTACTTGTTCGAGTACCCTACTGAATCCTGAGTTCTCGTGCTTGAGTTTCGAGTTCCATTTCTCCATCCGACGTGCATTAAATGATTGATCACGAACTATCTTCTTGAATAATTTTATTCTCTTTCTTCATAAGAAATTACTTACGTTTAATTAATTTATATTTTCAAAATTAATATTTAGAAACGATATTTTTCTGTGAAAAGCCGTTTTATGCTATTTCCATGGCGGTGACTTGAATAAGCTTTCAATTTCACCTCAGCATCATCATAATATTGAAGCTCTTGACTTTTTTAACTTGGCATGACTCACCAGCCCTCAAATAATCTAGTATAATTTATCTACATTTTTACACATTTCATATAAAAAGAACATATGTTGAAAGGCTAGTTGATCCTTCCAACTTTGGAGGGCTAAACGTAGACCGAAAAAAACCCTGATCGCAGAGTCAGCTCGCTCACAACTCTACGGAGTTTGAACCTGACATTTAACTATCTTTTCCACCTGCAATTATTGACTAAAATGTGTTTTAAAGATAATCTTTAAATTCTGCGCAAATTGAGAGAAATATTTGAATTATTTTTCATTGAAAATGACAAAAAAAAATATTCACTAAAATAATAAAAAAACATCTGTTAGGTGAAAGTAAGTTGAATAATTATAATTTTTGCCGAGCAAATGCGAATTTCAAAGCATTTACGAGGTGTCTTTTCTATTATTTATGCACCTCGAATGATAAGAACTGCTCTTATGGAAAACAGATGAATACATTTTTCTTCTTATGGTAGTAATTAAGCAACGTTGATATAATTTCGAAAAATTGACAACGAACCCAATTGAATATGAATGTTGCAAATTTTTAACTACCCTTACTTTGTCTTGTTTTGATGGGTTGAAATCGGAGTTAAAATTCCTATAATATTGATCTTTAATTATAGATTTCGGTACAGTAAGGCTGTCACAATGACCTTGAAGAAAACCGTCATTGAATTTTCTGAAAATTCCTACTAATCTCACTCATTTAACATTAAAACAGTTAATTAAATAATTAATTTGAAGAATGTTTTCTTAGTTACATATTTAATACAAAATTAAACTAGGTATTCGAAGCTTGAGCCTTGGGCTACTTGAAGAAGTAAGGCAGATTTTTAGTAAAAGTTTAACTTAGAGTATATTTTATTCAATATCTGGTGATTACATTGCGTAAAATGTATATAAATTTTGCGAGTAAATATGCGTACAAATTTAAAATTGTAGGCTTCGTCCAGCAATATGTACAATCAAGTAACTAGATGCCCGATACTTCGCTCATACGACGTACAGCATAACTAATTTACTATAAAAGTAAGCATAGTATCAATATGCTTTTAGTTGTTTTGCTAACTCTTCAAAATTTTGACCCTACAGATGCCGTGATCTTAACCAGATGTGTGACAATAATTAATATCCTCATATACATCCCAATGGATTAATTAGAATTTGTGCTAGTTCTAATTTTATCTTGAATCAAATGAATTGATTTAATTTTAGTATTCCTTGTTCAGATTAAAAATATCAAGTTTTGTGTGTGTGGATTTCAGAATTAATGTGAGCGCAACTGCCATGAATTTTTTCAAAAATTTCTAACTCGTGCATTTATTAATCTCTTTATACAGGTATAGTTCTTAGTAATTTATACATAATCTAAATTTGTGCATGTAATGCATTTTATGAAAGGAAATAACAGGAAAAAGAGTGTTCAATATTGTCATTGGAAAAGTTTAAACAGAAGAGTTGTAGTTTTATGAGTGAAGTTGCGGTGTGGAGTTATAATTGACTAAATTTAGTAATTGATACAGTATTTATAAAAGAAGAACCTGGTATTGTATTTTGAAGTATTTGTAAATATGAAAATTAATAATGTTGTTTTTCAGTAACTTTTGCTGCTTCCAAAGTAGACTGCCAATGTAATGTTTATTTTTCACATTAACATTGTTGAAAAATTCAATGAGTGAAATTTGCTCCCTACATCTCAAGTTTTACGTCCATCGTTGCTTACTCAAATTTCTATCGTGAATCAGGCATATCTAAATAAAAAAATTCACCCATATATTTTGATTACTCAAGATGAATTATCCAATGACATTTCCATATTTCCATCTCAAAAGACAAATTTTGAATCAAATTTCGGTGGTAGTACGGCTAAAATCCAATCAGAGACTGTTAATTAACAATTTTTGATATACGGTATAATAAAGATTGTTAACTTACAACAATAAGAATTATAACAATAAAATAATTCAGTATTGGCAGCCTCACACTCACTCTATATAAACTTAATTACATACAACGCTTGGTCATTGAAAACGCTTGGTCACCCACCTGAAAACAAATAAGATTTTCATTCAAAATTTCTTTAGTAGTTGTCAAACCTTTGAACATACCTGAAGTTGGCTACGCACACTAAATCCACCCATCAGCACATACCCAAATAAAAAAACACGTACATTCCGAATTTCTTTAACTAATGTTAAACCCCTGGACTTATACCTGAGGCTGGACCTACCCTGATAGGGTGGGCTACTTGGACCTACCCTCCACAAGAAATCAGCCAATACCTAAATTAGATAGCCTTTTTATTCCTAATTTCTTTAACTAATTCCAAACCCTATCTGAGGCGGGCT